CTGCCAAGTGATAGTGAGATAAAAACTCTGCATAATCATCCCACTAAAGATCTGTACTGAAAAACCACATGGATCTGAGCCTGGGGCCATGAGGAACAAAAGATCAGCTGCTTTTTCCAGAGCTGCTCCACTCTGACCTAAGGGAAAATCATGCAAGTGTTCCCCAAGGTCCCCTCTGTGGCTGCAGTTTCTGGGGGATCCCACGGGAGCTCAGGGCTCCTCCTGGAATTGGCTTTCCTTGGGCAACAGCCAGAGCAGCAGGATGGTGGGAAAGCCTCACTCCACATCCAGAACCATCAGGCCCCGAGGAAATCACTCTGCAGCTCCCCTGAACACAGGGACTACTCACAGCACGAGCCCAAACCCTGCTCCTTGGGAGTTCTGTAATTTTTTTCTAATTTTCTTATCCTGTTCCTTTGTTTCATGCAATACAAGGAAGCTTCCACGAGCTCATCATCAATGATGTTCTTATATTCACATGATATTAATAAATATAGCTGGATCTAGCTTTTGTTAGTGGTACCAGGTCCCACCTAGCCCAAATATTTCATGAGACAGTAAAGCTGTTAATTTAGTGCTGATAAAATCATTTAAGAGACAAAATACAATCAGTTCATTAAAATAATGTTTACATCTTCATAAAATATAGGAAAACCTAATTATATAAATTGTCATCAATTACTGATTTTTTTCTCTCTCTCTCAAAGAGGAAAGACAAAGACACATTTTTTCACTGGTAAAACCCATTGTTTTTAGGAGACAGCTTTCAGTTATTTGGAGATCATGCAATATGTGGAAAAGGTGGAATTTTACCTCAGGAGACTCATTCTCCACAGAGGAAATCTGTTCTAACCGTGTTTGACAAAGCCTTTCCACCCAGTGCTGCACCTTTTCTGACTCTTCCAGGTCTTCTCGTTCTGTCTCAGATACCTTGGCCATAACATTGGTGCATTAGAAAGGGTTACAGGCATGGTCATAAATACAAACACTTTCCAAAAGTATGAAATGCCACCTAGAATAGTTTCATAAATAATAATAATAATAATACTGCTTTTAAGAAGGATTTCCTATTTTGCTGTTTTTCACTAAATTCATCATTACACATGAACACAACTGCAAAGCTATCCCTGTTTGGGTAAAAGCTGACTAGAAATAACCAAAATAGCAACAGAATTTTACAGTAAAACAGGTTTTAAAATTTCATTATCTTTGACATAACTAAACAAGTGTCCTGCTAAAATAATTCCACAAAAAAATCCATCTAATTTTCTTTCAGTGTGGCTTTGCAATTGATAGATCACAACATACCTCTTGCACAAGACGATTTATTTTCAGTTGCTTTTCTCTCTCCAGCATTCCTTCTTTCTCCTTGGCAAGTTTTTGCTCAAACTCCATTTCCTTTTTATTCTTCTTTTGTTCACAAAAACTATCACTTTTGGACTTCTTTCGTTCTTTCCCTTTCTGGGAAGGTTTTTTTTTTAACAAAAATTTTTACATCAGCTAAAAGCACCACAAACTTCCATCTTGTACATGAGTGTCTGCCTCGAAAAATTAATTTCAGTCTATGCAAATATGGAGATGGTTTTCTAAAAGAAAATCCAAAGTCCATTTATCCAGCAATGTGCAGGAAATTTAAACTTTTAGGAGGGCTTGTGCCCTCGAATATAAGCTGGGTGAGATCAGAGAATTCAACTTTTTTGTTCCTCTGCAAAGTTACAACTTTAGGGAACACAGGCCTACTACAAAACTTGGAATATTCAAACAGTTTTGGTTGGGTCTTGGTTTGCCATCTCTGTGTTTTGGCATTTTTATATATATATATATTTATTTATAGACTAATTGCTTTCAGGTGACAGATGCTCATGTATAGGCAGGTGTCAATAGTCCATGCACACAACAGCTTCATGCATATGCCCCAAAATCAGCATTGCATCCCCTAACAAAACTGAAATAAGGAATTCTAAAGGAAAGGCTCAGGTCAGTGCAGAAGCTGAGCTGCTTCCACAAGGAGAACTGCAGCACAAAAACCACAGAGCTCCCACAGGCTCTGGGTAAAATCTACTCAGATGAGTTCACTCATACAGCACAAGGTTATAGATGATATACATTAATCTAAAGTTATAGATGATGGCTACAAACAAGAGGAAAAGCTGCACAGTCTGTTCCTGTTGTTCTTAAAATACATGCTGCTCCTTATTTCTACTTTAGTGATGCCCCATTTCTGCTCCCCTTTCACATTTGTACTCAGTCCACACTGGAAATGCCATGCCCTCCTTTTATTTATGAGAAGTAAAACAGAGGAGCAGGTGGCCACTTATTGGCAATTATTGCCACTGCCAGAGAGGCTGTGCTTCAGCCTGGATTTTCTTCTTCTCAGCAGCAGCAGATATTGACTTTTCATGCCTTGAATTCCCAAAACCACCACGAACTGCTTCACGTTCAAGAGCATTATTTGTCTTCCTTCCACCTTTTTGCACGTGAATATTGATAACAAAGCCTTGGAAAACAGACATTTTCCTTGGCAGGGAAATTCCCCAGTCTAGCAGTTAGCTGGAACTTTGCAGTGCTGAGTTCAGTGGGATGTGGTCTGCTGCTTCATGGTTACCTGGTGGTGGTGTAGGGAGGGGAGCAGGGGGGAAAAGGAAACCCAAAACATCGGAGATAAAGCTCAGCTAAAACAATGTAGCTGTTCACACTGTTTTAACATAAACCTAATTCTATAGTGTGTTTTATTCAGGGACAATTACTTTTTACCTTAACAACAAGAGCCAAGACCATCCTCTACAAATCTCCAAGATGCATTTGCTAGAGGTAACATCAGGCAGATCAATTTGCCAGGTATCAACATTTGCAGGGTTACTGAATTCCAAGGCACACGAAGCAGTCCACAAAACAAAGCCTTCAATATGAACATATGTCTGATTCTCTTAGCTGCATTCACAGCATTGAGATACAACAGGATGATTCATGCTTTCCTATCATTTTCCCCATGGATTCAGTTTACTTCCTATTATAGACATTTTTAGTACAGAGTGAAATTTTGTCTTTAAACCAAATAGAAAAAATCATTAACAATAGGGAGCAGGATGAAAATCCATCACTCTCAATAGCAAATTATTAAAAATAAATCTTTTCAAGCTTCTAGTGCACACTGTGTGGTAAAGTTCAACAGGAATTGTGTAAAATCATTGGTATATGCAGAGGTATTTGGGCATTCTCTAAACTATAGTTTAGTCAGCAGCAACACAAAACACTGCCCTCTTTGTGTGAAGAGTTCCCATAACATGCATTTATAATTTTCAGATAAAAATCCTAACTGCCCTGGCTTGGACCCAGGTTACAGATCCATGATGGTTCACAGTCACTAGCAGTACAAAAAGGTATTGGAATGCATCATCTCCTCCTAATTTCTGTCAAGGTGAACAGGTACATGCTGGGCACACAGAAAGTCAAATAAAGTGACACAAATCAACAGTGACACAAATACTTTGTCTGTCAGAAATAATCCTGACCTCCTCTGAAACCTTGAGTTCTTGCCAGATACATACACAAAATCTTCATGGCACTTTTGCCACAGTTAATTACCAACAAATCCACCACCAGAGCACACAGCACAAGAGCAAGCCCCCTGTAACATGGCTAATAGACATTGCAAGAAATAGAGAGAAGGAAGCAACAGCAAGCATCAAATATTATTTGAAACTCTCATAAAATGAAATTGCAATACTTCAGCAGCATCTCTACAGACACAAAAATATTCTCTCAGATTAAAGACTGTTAATTTTTTTTTTTTTTTTGCCTAAAAGCCTTTTGCCTTCAGCACTTCTCCTGCAGGGAGATTTGCAAAGGCATACCTTGGAATTTTTTCTCTGTATTGTTTTTCTATAGACACGATTCTGAGGATTTGTGGAGAGGATGCAGATGTGCACAGCCCACCTGTAATGAACCCTTCTGTGAAGTATTGTTCTACAATACTGTTACTGTTAAATTCTATTGCTCTGCAATTCCCTCTGCTCATGGCAGAGCTCAGAGCCTGAAGGACTCAAAAGGACAAAGTCCTGGACTCACACATCCCATCTTAACTGGGGCACACTTAAAAGAAGGAGCATTTGACTTTAAAGAATGTTTGCTAACAACAGGGAAGGAGAACAAAGGGGAATTCCAATTCAAACACACACACAGCAAACAAATTCACATTTCAAACTTGGTACCTTCCGGATTGTGGGAAATTTTCCATCATATCGATAAAACCATCCAAAAGCTACAAAAGGTAAAGGAAAATTGTTTTTTTGAAGAAAAAAACCAACGACAGGCTTGTACTCAAACCAATCTGTGCTGATATGTGTAACTGATTAAAATTTATTTGAAGGCACAACACCAGAGATTTGATATTACATGACAAGTTCTTAGCTAAATTCCTGATAAACGATTCTAATTTAGTAATGTTTCCCTTATTTTAATGATATGTATTTTATGTCAAACAAAGAAAATGCAACAAGTAATCTTCACACAGAAGCACACAGGCATGTGCACTGCTAAGATTTCTATGGTCATACTCCTACTTCACAGGAGATTTAGCAAGCCTTATGAAAATTAAAATTAATTCAAACTCATTCAAGCTCGTGGAAGAACAGGGCTTTTGAGGAGACATGAAAAGTTCCATTTCCCAGGACACAATATTTCAAGCCAAGTGCATAAATATTATAAAATATATTGCTAAGTAAAAACATACAAAATAATCTATTGCTGTAACTTTATACAAGAAACACTGAGCACTCAATATAGTCCATGTTTCTGTAGGGTTGTTAGATTTCACGTCAAGGGATCTGTAGATGCAATGACAGCAGCAGTGTCAGAATCTTTCATAATTTACTAAAAGGACCACACACATTGCCCTAGGAAAAGCAAACGGTTCAGTTCAATGTCAGGACTGACTGTCAGGAGGAGCTGAGACACAGAAGAGTCTGAATGAGGAGAGGAAGTCAGGCTGACTGGCAAACCTGTTTGTCCTGCTTCATGCTCACTTCATCCAAGTCATCTGTCTCAAGCTGGTCGTGTGCAACTCCCTTTAAATCTTCGAGAGAAACAAAGGAGGAAAGGGGTGAGGGGACAGAAGTGACAGCAACTGGAGGTCCCCATGGAATGAAAAAGAGGTCAGTAATGTGTGACTAGAAGTTTCCATGAAACAACAACAAAAAAAAAAAGTAGTTAACGATGGGATGTTTTTCTACAGAATTAAGTAGGGCCTTTTTTTTTTTTTTTAACCAATCTCCAACCTCCTCCAGTCCTGAGGAGCTGTTAGAATGTCAATGTGGATAATTAGTCTGCTGGGTGGTGAAGGGAAGCCTGCAGAGTTTGGTGGCTTTTCCTGTAATGGAACCATCAGCAGTCTTCCTCAAAGTCACACACAAAACAATATACTAAAATAACATCAGGTTAGGAATTGTCCCAGGTCTCCTGTGAATTATGGAACAAGCACTTTCCACATTTTTCTTTGTGCAATACAATTTCAGTACACTCTCCACATAATATTTGCAGCTTCCAGTTTAGGTTCCTGACTGCCAGCTGAGCTCCAGCTGTCTTAATTCCCTTTGGAAAAAGAAGTCAGAGAGGCAGCAGCATCCAGGGCAGCAGGGACAGGAGGGGATTCTGTCCTGCTCTGCTGATCCAGGATAAGGAATGGTCCAGCAGAGCCCTTGGGGATGGTCAGAGGTGCCTGAACCCACCTACAAGGGGCTACAGGGAAACTAAAAAGGAACTTTTTTCCAAGGACATGGAGTGACAGGACAAGGCAGCATGGTTTGAAACGAAAGGAGGATAGATTTAGGTTAGACAGCAGGAAGGAATTCTTCCCTGTGAGGCACAGGCTGCCCAGGGCAGTGCCCAGGGATGTTCTGGGTGGGGCTCTGAGCAGCCTGGGCTGGGGAAGGAAGGTGACCCTGGAACAAGGTGAGCTCCAAGATCCCTTCCAGCCCGGACTGTGCAAAGGCTGGCAGGCAAACACTGAACAGAAACAACAGCAAAGCCATGCCCCAAAGCCCAAGATACTGAGGCTCATTGGTGCTTCAGGCCATTTCTCACTGAGCCTCACTCCTTTTATTTGTCCTGCTGCTGATTGCTAAAAAACCAAGACTACTTGAATGATGTAGATGTTGCAAGACAGGTACCTGTTAAATAAGAGTTATTTAATTGATTTATCACATGCTTCCATCCTTCTGAAAATAACTGGTGGTACATTCCACACAGCTCAGTGATGTGTCCAAGACAAGAAGAAGGAGGCAAGTTTTGGACATAAATCACTTACTTTTGTGTTTGGAACGAGGGGCTGAGTGCACTTCTGCAGTTACAGTTTTTAGAGACTTGGGTGGCTCTTTAGGACCCCAGTCTTCTTCCCACTCCTTTTTAAATTTCTCTTCCTCTGCTGTTATCCTAGAGAAAACAAATGCAGTTAGATATTCTGAGTACAAAACCAACAACATCAGAATGTATTCATTCCCAATTTTTCAGCATATTTGTTTTTTCTCTTGAATATAAAGAATAATAAACTGCTTCCTCCTCCTAATTGAATTCCTTTCATCAACGTTTCATTCACTAAGCTACTAAGATAATGTGCAAAATACAGTGTAAGGTGTTCTTATTTAATATTTAGACTTCCAAGGCGTGTTGTATAAACACCAGCACAGATACAAAGCCATGAGTGACACACTATCACTTAAATAAAGTAAAATACCATCTCTCATTTAGCAATTCTTCATTTTTAGGACTGGAATTACTTACTAGAAAAACTGTCAGTTTTAACTGAAACACTGAGTGACAGAACATCTACATACACCTAAATCAGGTGTCACAATGGGAAATCATACCTAAAAAAAAAAAATCTGTAAAAATATCTGTCTCCTCTCTGTATGTTTAAATCTATTACACTTAGTTCTAAGTTGCCATAAAAAGTGACTCTTCCCAAAAAGAAACAAATACAGTTGAAACAGAAACCATATTAAATTCTGTATTCTAGGGGGGGAAAAATTAAAAAAAAGAAAAGAGGGGAATAGATGAGTACAGACAGAGGATGGGGGTGATGCAGAGAATGTCACACTTCAGGAAAAGAGCAGGCAAAACAAGTAAATTACCTAATTTATGGTAAATGGCACCATGAACAGAGAAAAAAAGCTTCTCAAACAAAAATTCAGCAAATACCAATCATGCCACAGCAGAAATGCTGAGTGACCCAACAACGTGTAACTTCATACACATTGCCTTAAATGATCCAAGACCTATCCTTAACTACAGCTTGCCTTGAACTGATTCTGTGGTGCCAAAATTTAACGGGTCTTAGATATAGATGATGTTATTTCTATTTGGATTCTGCATCTCTAAATTAGCTAAAGTGAATTGAAAAAATATTGACATTGAGTCAAAACACTCTTAAATCTTAACTGAGCTCACTATTTAAATATTTAGAGGCATTGGCAGGGAACAATGAACAGAATGTTTTTTCATTTAATTTTAGTTTTAAAAAAGTTGGTGTGACAATGTAACTTGCAGTACATAGAGCTAGGGACCTCTGCCATTTAGGCACATTTGAAATTTTTTCAAATATAAGATACCAAAAAAGGGCACAGCGACTTTATACAAGGAACTCCTGCAGAAAGGATTCTTAAAATAAGGCAAGGCACGATCAGCAAGAACAATTAATACAGAAAAATATTGTATTTTAGCCTGCCACAACAACTGCTCATTAAATCTCAGATTTGGATTTCATCTCGGTTCCTCTGGTCCCATTCTCCCTCTTTGTCACCCAGGACATTGACACCGACTCAACAGTTTGGATTGTGATGTGGAAAAGCATTCAAAGTGCCTGAGCAACACTTAAAAATGCCCAAGGAAGTGGAAAGCTGTCTGGCCCTTCCACTGAGCAGCCCTCAGGGCATGAAAGCCCTCCCTGAGTGAATAAAGATGTTTTCAGTGCAGAACAACACAGCAGACATCCAATATTCATTAGAACAGAACCATCCTTCACCTGCTTTTACAGCAGCTTTTGGCTACTGCAGGAATTTCTACAGAGCTCCACAATAAAGAGCAGGATGTTACCAATTCCCCAGGATCAGAAAAGGGAAATGAATAAAAATTCATCCATGTAGAGCCCACAGCAGGACTGGCAGAAGATGTTTCCCTTGTGACAACTGGGGAATATATTTGTTTTTGCACCTTACAAATTCAGAAACCCCTGCTCTTTTTCTATCAGAAAATCTTAGCTAGTACATGAAAAGGGACTTAAAATGAATTAAAACCCCCTTAATATGTCAAAGGGGCAAAGCCAAAGACTTGAGAACCAATCTTAGCCCTAAAAGGCTGAATCAAAACAGGCATTATTCTGCAAATTACATTTTCATGCAATTTCCCAGCATCATTTAGAAGGAAAGCTAATTACTGTGGTAACAACCAGTTAATTTCAAACTTCCAAATATTAAAGAATGCTCAAGGTAAAAATATAGTTCTGATCTGTTTCTTAGCAGTGCTGCTTCTTTTCTCTTTGAATTCAAAGTAGTGTTTCAGTGACAAGAGAGTAAACAAGCTCTGGAACGCAGAATTTCTTTAACCTTAAATTTCTCTATATATTAATAATACTTTTAAAATAAGTGCTTAACTTGAACATCACACTGAATTTATTATTGCCATAAGCCTCACGTTTACAGGTGATTATTTTCAGATCAGTTTCCTATTCTTGAGATGTGGAGTGCTCACTGATATGTACTGGACCCTGCATTTAGCCAAAGGAAAATACTACACAAATTTATTTGAAAGCAACATGCAGAATGTTTTCAGCCACAACTTCTGCACCAGGAATCCTTTTCCAGGCCTGTGTAATCCTTTCCCACACTGCCTGTGTCAGGTTTTTACTCACTGCTCTATTTCTCTGCGATATCTCTCTTCTTCCTCTGCAGCCTTCTGGGAAATCTCCAGCTTTCTTCTAGAACAAGAGGAACCAGGACAACATGATAAAAATAGTATTTTCTGAGTAAGAACCTGAACAAAGTGTGTCAGCATACAGTTAGTAAAGGATGCAGACAGTGAATACATTTGTATCGGGGGAAAATGCTCTGTTTTAAAAGGAATCTCTGAGATCCCCAAGGTTCAGTATGGTTTCCCAGGAGCCCTGAGGACATTCCTGACCATCTCTATAAAAGGACTCATCATCTTCTTAATTCTTTAAGTCACTACCTCCTTCAATAACGTGTTTCTGTATGAGTATAAAGTTTCTAACTGTCTTGTTAAAAATAAAGTATGAGTGAATAGCATCAGGAACATAATGAATATCACATGGAATAATTGGGTATGACAGGAGCAGAGTGACCCTTCTACTCAAGATGGCTTTGAATGGTATCAGCTTTGAAAGCCCAGAACATCAAGAGCATCACAGGACAAACAATTTATAAACAGAGACTCTGCAAAAGCAAAACAAATTTAATCTGAGAATCTCCTCACTTCTGTGAGAAGCATCACAGAAATAATTACGTGCTCCTGCCTTCCATGCCCTCTCCAAACCCAAGCTAAGTTTTTCAGACTGTGCTACAGAGGTCTCACATTCTCTCTTTCTCTTGCTGCTCTTTGATGATTTTGTTGGTCTCCAGTGCCAGCCGTTTCTGGTGCATTAACTCCTGGCGCTCCTGCTCCCGGACACGAGCTTCCCTCTGCCTCTCCTCTTCAGTCATGAACAGCTCCTTTCCCTGCAGCCAAAACCACCACCCCAGTCAGCTGGGAAAGCACCCCAGGAAATCATTCGAACCCAGTCATGCAGAATCACACCTGCTCTCCTCATTCCTCACCTCTCCTGCATTCCTCACCGTGCTCTCCCTGAGGATTCACCCCCAAGGATCCCCAAAGGATCTGTTCTGGTTTCAGCCTCTGAGTTCTCACATGCCAAACACCTCAGAGGAGGTTTGCAGCTGCTGAATTCAGCAGCACCACCATAGGGACCATGCCAAATACCTGCTCAGTGTGTCACCCAGAAAAAAAATTCACATCACAACATGACACTTCATTGAAATCTCACTGAGCAATGAGATGGCAGAGAACAGAACACTGAATGATTCCCAATGTGGGGACAACTACACAGTTACTGGGCTTTAATGCTCCAGCCCTTGGCTTCTGCAGAAACGTGCCATCATTCAGGAGCCCAAATACAGGGAAATACATCCCCAAACACTGTAGAGTTTGTGTATTTCAGTTGGCTTTGTTCCTGTTTCACTTGCTTCACAATTATTGCTGTCATTATTCAAGATATTTCCATACTGCTATATATAGAACACTTTGGTAACACTAATCTAATCTTCATTTCTGAAATTAAAATCCCATGTTAATTAGGAAGGTAGGATTTTTCCTGTCTCTAAAGCACAAAGTAGATGACTTGAACAAAACCAGGCACTGAGGAATGGCTTTGCACCATATTTCAGAAACTGTTTCCTTTTGCTCTCCAGACAAAGGCTGAGAAGAGACATGCAAGGTGAAGGAACAGAAGAGTTCCACAGCAACAATTGGCCATTTGAAGGACACCACCCCAGTGATGCATGCTGAGGTAGAGCTCACATTCTCAAAGTTGTTAACATAACTGGGATTGAAACGAAGTCCTTAGGATGTTGAATTCCTGGAGCTTAATCAACTAGCCCAGAGTATTTGTTTAAACAATGCCTACAGTGCCTTTGGACAACTTCACCTTTTGTTACTGTGAGAGTAGATCAAATAAACTATTAATTCCTTAATGCAGCTACACAGTATACACAAGCCCTTAGGAAGTAGCTGAAGTGACTTATTAAATCTTTTTTTTCCCTATTTAATTCAGTTGAAAGGCAATTAGAAAACAGTGTATTTGATTAGTCTATAGAACTTGATTATCCTCGTGTACACAAGTACACGCTTCCTAAAAGAAAGATTAAGGCAGTAAGAACATTAAAACATTTATTATTAAGTCACACTGAAGTCAGAGGGAAGACTTAATTAATTTCAGCTGGCTTTAGATTAAACCCCAAAGGCTTAGGGTTCTGCTGCACAGAACAGTGTAAATGACAAATTGGGCAATTTTCAGAGTGTCAATGCCCTAATGAGATCAGATAAACTGTTACAAAAGGAACTAACCTGGAACAAGACTAAGGCATCAGCTATTCAGGATTGAAAACAATTTGTCTCAAATTCAATTTACCTTCCACGTTTCAGCAGAAGCAGGTATCTGTTAGAACAGAATGTCTCCAACATGAGAGGCCATTACAATAAAGTTAATTTCCATTCCTTGTCAAGGGAATGGTTTGACATTGGTTCACAATCGTGTTTTATTTGAGAATACTTTGTGTGGTATGGAAGAACCACACACCACTCAAAACTGTCCTGGTTTGACAGAGGTTTAGATTTTATACACAAACACACCTTTTTTTTTAATCCTTTTTTTTAACCATTGGTTTACTTACATAGCAATTTTCTGCTTACAAAAGTTGTGCTTTTACAAATATATATATTTTACTTACAGCCCCTGCCACCACAGAGATGGTCAAAGTACGGCTGCTCTTGAGCACTCTGACAGCCTGCAAATAAAAAAAAAAACAAACCAAAAATCAGAGTGAATGAAGGGATACAAGGCCAGTGTGATGCTAGCTGCCAAGGCTGGAATTTCCAGAACTAAAGAGAGTGCTAGGTATGCAAATATCCAAAATCCCACGTTCAATACACAACCCGAGTCAATAGCTCAGTATCAAAATATTCCACTTTTTGTGGACACATGTTTAATAAGCTGACAACTACAAATCCAGGGAATTAAGAAAACTTAATTTTACCTCTTTATGATCGACATTAGAAAAGTCCACTCCGTTCACCTCAACAATCTGATCACCAACCTAAAGAAATGAATGCAAATTTTAATACAGATGCTGAGTTAGTAGATATATTAAATAAAACCAAAGATGTGCTCTCTAACACAATCAATACAACAATCGTGGGTACTGGCAGAGCAGAGGGGAAACAGCTCAGGCTTGCACATCTCCTACACTGGGAAAAAATCCCCCAAAACAATAAACCCCACAAGAAACCCTTGACAGAATTGTTGTGATGATAAAACAAAGAGTTCCTTGTGGTACCTACCTTGGAAAGTGGCAACCTTACCTCTAAGCCCACCTCTGCTGAAAGAGAGCCTGGCTTAACATTGCTGATAAAAATGCCTGGTTTTTGTGTGGGACCACTGGAAATACTGGAAATGTAAAAAAAACCCAACATTAATTGGATTATATTTATAGAATAACATTTATGAGGAATACAGCGAGTAGTTTTAGTTTCCTCATAGTTTTTTTTTTTTGCTTAAAGAATATTTATGGGATTAGCCAACTCTGAAACCAACACCTAAACTTACCAGTATACACACAGTGGTTTATCATCCTATTTTTCTATTCTCTATACCACAAAACTGGTTTTAAAGAAAAAGCTAAAATGAAAATATTCAAGCTTCTGCATTTTGCCTTACATGCTGAAGCTGATATGAACTGACCTACACTGTGTAAAGGACCAGGACACCGAGGATATTTGAAAGCCAGCAAGTAACACAATTAGAATTACTGATTATTCACTGAACTGCAAGGTACTGTATGCATAAAACTTTGTTATTTTGTTAGGATTACTTATTAGGAGTAAGAAGGATGTTTCATCCAGAGGCCAACATCCAGCTCAGGAACTTTAAGCTGCCATCTAATCTGGGCCTAGATACAAAAACTACTTTTCTAGATTATATATTCAACAAGCAGTGCTGAGCCACCCCTCCAGGTTTGTCAATAATTTTTTCAAAACCTTTACATCCTCCAAACTACAGGAGAAAAAAGTCCTGATAACTTCAACTATATATTTCAAAATATACAAGAAATCCTACAGTATCCCTTCTATTCCAAAACCTCCATAAGTCTTGCAAGGACAGGAGTCCATTTTCTAAAATATCTTACAAATTCAACATTAATTTTAGAAACGGAAAATAGCTTTGTGATGGTGTTTTAGTTCTGAAAAGATTCAGGGAAAGCATTGTTAGTGCAGGGAGTGAACCTGGCAGTGGACAGTGCTGGAATTTTGCTCTATCACCCAGCAGCACTTTTAAGTATTTAAAAATGTAAAAGAATTTAAATGATCCAATTCCATTACAAGTTGTACTAAGGCACTTCCACTCTGCTCTTAAATTTTAAAGTTTTTTTCTTTATGACAGAACTGGTAACACAGGTTATGATTTGCCTAAAAATATGTAATGTGTGCCACAGACATCCTGCTGTTGCAGCCTGCCTTGCTGATCCAGCATGGACCTTTATTTTCCTGACATCATATGCAAGAAGGATGGAAATAACTGCCTTGAGGGTCTCATTTTAAAAACAGTGACAATAAATAAAAGGTGTGTACCCACCTGCATCCCATGCCTTTTGTGCCAATCAAGCTAATGAAGACTTTCTTCTCTTTATTGTCTCTCCCTCCAGAGGAAGCAAGTCCAGCAATGCTGCCCTTTCCTTCCTGCAGAGGGATGAAACAATGCTGCACACGTTAATTCTGGCTTCAAGTCATATCAAGACCACTATAAAATTTCATGCAGCCAGGATTTCATCCCAGCCAGCATCAAGATAAGATTCAAGGTTCCATTCAAGGCTCCAAGGTTCTGTCCTGCTGGAAATGAGTGTGGAGTCATTTCAGTGGAGCTGCATGGCTGAGGTGAAAGGCTGAACTCATCTATTTGGAGAAGATTACTTAAATCGTCAAATTTTGTCTTCAGGAAAGGGTGAAGGAAAATGAGAGGAAAGTGATATGGCAAAATAATAATTTGGGTGCTCCCTGACAAAAGGGCTGGAGAAACCCATGAGAAGGCTCACTGTTTAACTAAGTCTGTCTGTCTGAAAGGAAAAGAACAGTAATTGTGGTGTTTCTTTTCACTTCTGCAACCCTTAGAAGTCACTTGCATTCAAAGTTGTAATTCCTCCACTAATATGCCTAAAAGAGGCCAAGCAATCTGATAAAGATTCGTGCAGTAGAACTACAGTCTGGGAAGTTAATAAGCTCAGGCAAAATGAAGAAGCAATTAATGAGCAAAAGCGATTTCAGTTGTGTCCTGCCCTTTCCTTACCTAATAGCTCTAGAATCATTTCATATCACAAGAGATATTCCTCACAGAATCCTTTCAACAAGATATTGCATGATAGCAATGCACACAACAGCTTCTCTGATAAGGTCACAGGAGAAAGAATTTCAGAACCATTACAGATTCCCCAGAAGACATTGAACAAAATATTGATCTCTTACCCCAGGCTCTGACACAAACTGATCCACATATTGCCATTTAAGGGGTTCATCTGGTGAACTGAAAGGAAAAATGATTTTAAATAATGGGACAAAATAAATGTCAATGTGCTCCAGAAGCTACTTTGGAATGGAGCCTTCTGTTTTGCATCCACAACTTTCTTTGGATTTCATTCACATTTGGTTTATTTTCCAGCAATTTAAATAGAACATCAAACAAGGATACAATTATTTGGGCTGGAAAAGGCTGAATATAAAACTGATAAAGTCCTCTCAAGTGAAACAATTGTAGGAAAATCAGAGGAAGACTACAAAACGAACCATAAACACTCAAACATTTACACAAATTTCTATGCAGAGCGACACCTCCTGTCATTAACATCTCTCAAACATTCCACTTAAAGATTCAGCTTTTCAACAAAATTTGGAAGACCAAAACAATTTTAAATTTTTCTAAACTCTGAAGCCATCATCAAATGTTACAAACACAGACAGGCAGTGGAGCTCTCTGTTAAGAAAGGTGCATTGATAATTAAATATCCAGGAGATGTCTGTGACAAATGAGGAAACAGAAATTGGTTCATTTAAGTCGGCAACTGGAATAAAATCAGATTCATCAAACAAGACATCAGCCTGTTCATTCAAAAGGATGTGACATTTTAATCAGCATTCACACATTTTCATAATTAAACACAGATTCTTTGCACAGAAGAAGCTGTAAGAAAACGAATAATGTGTTTTCAAATGAAAAGCCATTACCTTTTGACAGGTATCATGCCAATATCTGAAAAAGCAAAATACACTGTTCAGTTTCTGCAGCCCAAGAGCAATCTATTAATAGCAATTTCGGTGACAGAGGTGAGGTTTTTGGGGGGGTTACTTACGTCTGACTTTAATGGAGACGATTTTCTTGGTTCGGATGAGGTTGATGACCTCCTCGTGTGTGCAGGAGGAAATGGAATATCCGTTTATGCGCACGATCTCATCCCCAACCTCACACACGGACACGAGAGGAAAAAAGCAAATGTTGAGTTCAAGTTTTCAAGATTGGATACAGTCTGGAAATCATTTTGATGCAAAGGATAGATAATGTTGATTCATGAATAATTTCTGCATTTCAGCTAATGTCCAGATCAGACTTAGCTGTATTTGTTTTTAATACCAAACACCAAAAGAGCAAATTAATGGCCAAGTAACCATTAATTTTGTAAATAATGTCTACTATACAGCAGATCTATACTCCACAGATTACCTTAAAAACAAGAGTCTGTGTTTGAATTAAAATAATTTTGGAATTATTTTCTTCTTTTATACCTTTATACCCCCAGTCCACATGATCACCCTTAACACTGATTGGCACCCCAAGGACATTCCCTGGCAGTGCTCAATTTAATAGTGCAGAACAGACAGGCTGCTTCCAGCCACTTCTACAGAGTTTCATATCTAATTATCAGAATACAATCAAAAAGTTTCCCTTCCTCTAATATAAACCCAAATTTGACATGCTATGATGACTAGAGAGAATTTTCCAAGTTTTTATCAGCTCTGCCCAGTGATCCTCTTATCCAGGTAGGCTGAGAAGGAATCAGTGATGAAGACATTTCCTATTTCATTTAAAGTAGTGCCTTATTATCTGCTCTGAAAAATGCCAGGTCCTGGCTAGAGAACCATAAGCAAAGACTTTTACTTGGCATGAACCACGTGATGGGGCTGTATGAAAATTAGTGCAGGATTTCTCCCATTATCAATGCAGATCCATCCACTGCACAGTAAAATACACAAATGACCACCAGGAAATTACCTCAACAAACCATCAACAGTGTCATACCTCTGATCTGCACATGGACAAAGCCAATTATTACTATTGTGAATATTTGTTATGTAAAATGTATTTGATGAGACTTTTCTCATTACCATCAACAGCCTGGGATTTTGCTCTTAGTCGATGAAACTTTGGGTTCCTTCTCACAGATGTGTGTGGTTTCATGGCAGCATTATCCCTAATTAATGATTACCTAAAATGTTCCAGTTAAAGACCCAAGTGTCAAGCTCCCAAATTTCACTTCGGGTTTAAGTTTTCCATGCTGGTATCTGCATTAGGCTGATTTCAAGTTTCAACAAAGCTAAAGCAACTATATTTTTATTCAACAAAATTTGGGTGGAATGCACTGTCAAGCTCGTTTAAAAAAATAAATCTACAATTACTTTGTTGAGAAGCTCTGTGCTTTCATTTTGTATGAGAAGAGTGAGTGGAACTGAAGTAGAAACTCCTCAATATAGCCAGTGCTCTAGAGACTAACACAAACAGAGACATGGGGTGACAGGACATCAGGCAGGCTGTCACCTTCCACCTTTCTTCATATTGTAATAATGACAATTTAATTTCCTACTCTGATCTGTCCAATTGAAAACAACAAAAAACCACAAACAAACCAAAAACCCCATCAATGTAATTTCTTCATTTCTTTCACAAACTTTTCTAATGTTTCTGGGAAGTGTCTCATTCTCTGCAATACACAAAACATCAACAACACATCCACTCTGCCATCACTGCTCACGTGTCACACTTTCTCCTGAAGCTGAGGATTTTTGGCTGGCAGAATAAAGCACCAGAAGCTGCAAAAGCAAAGGAAACTCCTGCAGAACAGACACCACTCGCAGAGGCAGAGCAGGACTGTGGTCCCTTGCCCCTGACTGGTGGGACATCCACTCCCTCTGCTGGGCATCCAAAAAAGCCTCGTCCAATGGCCTGCACCCCTGACAGCTCGACTGGCAGATTTTAAAAATAATCCTTGGTAAGAGCAGAAATAGGTGAGAAATGAAGGCTTTTGAACATAGAGCCTGTAGGAAAAACACAGAACCAGACAAGGAGAGCACATGAGGGCTGCAGCTTGTAGCTACACCTCTGGTGGCTCTGTCACTCATTCACCAACTTGTTCCAAAGATTTAAAACCATGTCCATCCACCTTCTCCATTTCCTGTTCATTTGACAAATGTGCTGAAGAGCAGGGGAGGGTGGGCTTCGTGTTGGTTTTTCTTTCAGTTCAAGGAAAACTTTACTCACATCTTGCACATCGTGCAGACTGTGCAGCCTGGCTTTGCACAAACCTGACTCTTTAAAGTGTAACCTGTGATAATTATTGATGCAATAGTTATGGACTGCAGTGCCTCAACACACACAAGCCCCCCAGTTTTAGGGCTGCAAATGAAAATGGGGCCTCTGGATGAGCAGAACTCGTGTTGTTCTGAGGCTCTCAGAACCCCCTGAGCCAAATCTGTTCTCATCTCCCCAAGAGGCACTTGGAAAATTCTAAAGGCACACAAGAGCATATTTTATTTTTCCCTCCAGTATGGCAATGAGCTTTTCCCATACAGATATTTTTAACACTCTCCTTTACTAGAATGTTATCTTATTTCTGAAACTCACTCTTCACTCAGCCCAATGCCATTTGTAATACTGACAGACAACGACTGAGGCTGCTTTACAAATAACCCAGCTAGGCTGGACTGCAGGAGATGTATGGGCATACAGCAAACTGCTTCTCTTTAGCATGCTTGAACAGCTTTTCCTGAACAATGGTATCCAATATTGGGGTAATTAAGAGCTGTTTTCATGTATTTGGTTACTTTTATACAGGTATCACTGTGTACCAAGCTAATGAATCAGAACTGTAGAGATAAAAGTCAGTGGAACTGAGCAGAGTAGAACAGTAACAATTATTTTGGTATTATATCACAGTTTCCCCTTTCCCTATCAAACAGGGAGATGACAGACTTTTTAGAAAAAAGATGCAAACCTAACTTTTCTCAATTAAAATGCCTATTATTTCTAACTTTTAACATGAGAAATATAATATTTAGTGCTTCTAGGAAATTGAAGGGCTTCATATAACAACATCAACTGTTTCAAATTTCCCATTTTGTATACTGCTTCCACTTTCATCATTCACACCAATCTCTTTGTATTCAGCAGAATCCTCACACGCAAGTATCAAAAGGCATTGGGGGGGAGGGAGATGAAGTCCATTTCTTAATGGAAGGACAAAATACTTTAGAGAAACTGTGGTCAAAAAAAGGGTGAAAACTACAAGTGCCACAGAAACCTTCGTTATTATTTGGTCATTTTAATGTAACTTGGAAAGTACTTCAAGGAGGAATCATGCATCTTGAACTGGAAATTTTAAAAGCAGCAGGATGTAAAACCGATGGTATAATAGAAAAATCATTCTACCTTTCTCAGACAGCACTTTTGGGATTGAAAATGTGTAGAGATTTTGTTAAATAAAGCAGGTGGGTGAAATTTCAGAAGCAGCTGGCTTTACTGTGAGACAGCAATTTAGAACAATGGGCTGCCTGTCAGGTCTTGTTATTCAGTGAGGTTCAGAAAATGCCGAGTGCCACCTATTATTCAGGCACTTTAGGCTGAGCTTTAACAGCACCTATCAAAAACCAGAAGCCAGGCAGTTACAGGAGCTGCAAAGCACCATCTGCCCATATGAATTCATATAATCTAAGCCTAACAAATTCAGTTAGTCTCGAGCTTTATCTGCTAAACCCCACGTTCTGAGTTACAATAGGGTTTCTACACTCCAGCCCAAAGATCCTTTACAATTCCCCTCACTGACACCAACACATTCTACAATGACCTGGGTCACAGAAAGCCACGGGGCCTTTTTGTGTTCACACATCCTAACAGGAGCACAACAGCTGAACATCACCCCTCATGCAGTGATTGTGCCAGAACAGGAGTCTGAAACAAGCAGAGCTGCAACACAGCATTAACACAAATGTGTCAGCATGGCATTTTAAGGCAGTGCCCAATAAATCCTTCATTGATCAGCACCATTAGTGCCTTCCAATACACTCCAGAAGATGTTTACAAAAGCCATGTAAGCGACTGCTCTTGACCTTTTTCTCAAGTTTCTAGCAGCTGGGGAGGGAAGCAGAGCCCAGGAGCAGCTCCCCTGTCCACACCTGCCATTCGTGCTGTGCACTGCACAGGATGGAGAGGGTGCCTCGATGTCCTCCCCTGCCCACTGGCAAATCCCATGTTGAAATTAGGCTGACAACACACAGGGCACAAGGTTTGTGCTGAGCTACAACACCCTCTAGCAGCTCTGCGAACACAGCTTGTGGTTTTGTTCTCAGGAGTTTCTGAAGCTTCCCCCCGGATGCAGAGCAGGCTGACAGAGGGTGGAACTAACTCAAGGGGGATTCTGAATGGGATACAGAGCCATGAATGCACAAACAGAAGGGCGTGCACGTGTATGCAAACAGAAAGAGGAACAGTTTAAATTTTAGAAAGCTTTCAGCATGAGCGACACAAACACAGAAATCTAACTTCAACTGCCTTGTTGACAGATATTTATTTTTATTTTATAATCTAAGAGATTTGTGAGGTAATACTGAAGCATATCTACAAAACATGCTAGCTTAATTAAACACTGTAATCAATCTAATCTAATATATTTTGGACTAGTGTTAAACATAATCCTTAGCCATCAATACTCTCAGCAAATACTCAAACTTGGCAAATTAAAAGCAGCCAGGCTTATTAGCCTTTCCAGTCAGAAACTCAGACCTTTAACACACCTTATCAGATTCAAAGTCTGATGAAAAGATGCAGACATTTGGCACAGCAATTTCTCACTTTCTCTTCACTAAGCAGCATCACATTCAAAAAGAAACCAAACACCCAAAACTTCATTAATGCAAATTGCCAAAGTACTGCAGTGTTTCTACACGCAATTATTTTTGCCAACCTTATTGGCAAGCTCATGTATCCAAAATTCAATAACAGGAAGTGCAATCCTATGCAGTACAGGGGACACTGAGAATAGTCAAAAGTATGTTCTCCCTTTTATTGCATAAACTGAAATCCACAATGTACACATGAAGCTGAAGTAAATATTTCATTACACAAATTCTATCTGTGCAAGATAGAGTTAACACTTTTAGTATTTATATACTCTGTTCATCATTTCATCAGAACTTGGCAACTTAAAGCACTCTTCCACAGTCTAGGGATCTTTCTTTCCATCTGCTTACATTTAACTTTTGCTACTCATGAATTACAAATATGCCAGAAAAACTTTTAACCTTCAAAAATTATCATATCTCAAACAAGAAAAAAAAAAAAAGGTTTATATATCATTAAAAAAGCAAAATGAACGTTTTTAACGACTTTATTCACCACTGGCACAATGGTATTTACCATGGCATTGCCTTACTTAGGAATTCTATTAGAAAATCGAAGAGTGTCTCAGCAAAAGCAATTTCTAAATGTTAAAGAACAACCCTCAGCACCTAACACCAATAGAATTTCCTTACCTGAAGTCCAGCATTGTCTGCCTGCCCTCCTTTAACTAACTGGGAGATGAAGAGGCCACAGCTGAATTCCACTCCACCTCTCACACTTAATCCAAGCCCTTCAGGATTCAAACGATCCAATCTCACCTCCTTCAGCTTTCTGCAGAAATGTTAAACACGTGAGTGGTCAGCTGCATAACACCTAATCTCAATGTTTCATATGAAAGTTATGCCAGAGAAAAATAATGTCTAATTTAGGCATTGAAAAAAGCAAGTTCACTGAAGTTTGGGTGGATGGGAATTAAATAAAACCATCAAGTTTATTCATATGAATAAAGACATTTGCAATCACGAAACTGCTTTTAGAGGGTTAGAGCTATGAGATTTTTTTTATTATTATTAAATGCAGGAAAAATGAGAAAATATTGGTTTTGACTCCTTTACCTTGCTTTTACTAGCTAAAACTACTTGGCAAACAATTTAAGCACAGTACAGGCAGCTGCACTTCCAGCAAAGACAGCAAAGTAAAATAACTATGCCCAACTCCATAGAGACGAACAACATTTTACCGAGTTTCAAGGTAAATTCAGAGTATTTCCTGGTTGTATTTAAGTTAGCTGCATTTATTATTATTATTATTATCATTATTAGTTGTTGCTCAGCACTGTCCTACCGTGACCGTTTGGGGGTGAGCTGATCGTATTCCACCTGGTGCCTCAAGGGGATGAGCGGGCGGATGGCATCGAACAGGGCCAGCCTGCCCGGCTCGTTCAGCACCAGCTTCAGGTCCCCCACGAGCACGGGCAGGTTCATGGACCTGCAAAAACACCCACAAAAACCTGCCTTTTATAAGGTGTCGTGGCTTCAGTATTTGCGTGTCCTTTCTAGGCACCGAAAATGATATTGATGGAGATAGTGGCTTGACAAAAGCAAAATAGCCCCTGAGAAAGAAAACTTTCTGTAAATAAAGAATACTTGCTGCAAAACACCTGAATCTCCCATAGATTCACTTCATCTCTTTGAGGTCATGCACATCACGTTTATAGATGAAATCTCCAATTTTATTCTCAGACTACCCACAGGGTTTACGGAACTGTTTGAAAATAACTTTCCAGATGAGACAAACCTGCCTGATGGATTTTGGTTTCCTTGCTAGTTGGGGATTCTTGTAAGTCAATCTAGGCTACAAGCTCCTTCCTTTCCTGAACTTAGAGGATTGACAAACAGTTCAATCCAGGAAAAAAAAAAAATAAAAAAAAAATCACAATATTCAGCAGCTAGAGCAAACACTTTAAGTTTCAACTTTTGTTCAAAATCAAATTTGAAGGGTTATTAACCAATGAACAAAACTTACAAAAGTTAAACTGCTGTGAACGTCTCTCATGAGAGCTAAGCAAAATGATCTTGAAATTGTCAGCATTGAGATAGTTACAGGTCTATAAAATACTTTATTGTACAGGAGTGGAGGAATAGTTAAGGTTCAGCTGAACTATTACTATAAAATATTCAATTATTTTTTTTCTGTGTTATTTGCTGTTCCCTTTCTTTTAATTTACATTTCCTGGGATACAATATTATAATTATTAATTATTATTAATATTCATATTATATCGATAATAATTATAATAATTATTATAATATAAATAATATAATAAATAATATATAACGCAAAAATAAATAATATAATAATATTATTATTATTAATAATATTATTGATATTTCTATTATATGCCTATTATTATTAGGCATGGACATTAAAACTACAGATCAGGTATTACCTATATGGGATTAGAGGTCAAATGCTTCTGGAAATGCTATTTCCAGTGAAACAGATATTAATTGATCACTCCAACAAAAATTGCACATATTTTTGGCCTGGGACATTTCCTAATATATTCCCAGGAAGTGATGCATCATCATTATATGTTCACAGAGATATTGAAAATTTTGCCCAAGTCATTGGAATTGTGGAAAAATAAGAAAAATTATCATATGCATTGTTATTTTAGTAACTGCAAGGAGATTTTAAATAATTCAGATCTGCTGAACCAACTGGCTTTCCAAACAACAGTCTTTATGAATGGAAAAACAATTAGACAGACCTGAGTGAAACTGGATCAGATATGCAGCTGAAATACCCCCTAACTCCAGCCCAGTGCAAACATCAGATGGAAACTTGGACATTTCACTCAGCTGAGAAGCTTTTAATTACAATATGAATGAAAATAATGCTTATCAGAGCCATTTCTCTATGATCAGTGGAAAACAGATTCTCATCTTCTTTGAAAAACGATGGATCATAGGCTGATGTCATTTGCAACCAAAGAAGTCTGAGGTAACTGTGGTTTAAATCAGTTCAGCACAGGGACTGGTAATAGGCCTATCACCTTTCCCATTTTTTACCCTTGTGTTCTAATAAGCCACAGTCATTAAACATGCCAAACACATTCCAAGACTAAATTTTTCCAGCTTTCTGAAGGACAATTGCAAAATTTTTATCTGAAAAATTAGCAAAAAAAATCTCTGAAAAGCGATGTCAGTGAAAACTTTGTACCAAATAAATAAGCATTATTTGGAAATATTAATGAATTTTATTAATGCTCCCTTCCTGTTTCCTAAGAACAGTTTTATCATGCAGGAGCCTCCCCCCACACACCCCCAAATATGCATCCACCACACTCTGCCAAGTCATAAAATCAAAGTAACTTTGTAAGTGATTACAGGCATGCTCCTTCTTTGCTTGCAGGTTATGCTGTGAAACCACAAGACTTCATTAAACAGGATAAAAAAACCCTCTTATTTCAACTACTTTTCTAGTAGCATATGGGAAGACTAGTTAAGATAATGAATATTAATTCTTCAAATTTAAACATATTAGCAGAATTCCATACAACCAAATATAAAGCTGGACCTTACTGGTGGTACATTCGCAGCACATCGTAAAGGTAATCCTTCTCTGCTTCATTGTCAATTAACAGATTGACCTGAAAACCCAGAGACATTATCGTTAATCTCGGACTTAATGGCCACAAATGCTAAACACGAGAGACTTTCACAGATTCTTAAGCCATAGAGCAAAGATTTAATCAAGGCAAAACCACGTTTTTACAACAGGGCATCCCCTCACCATGTCACACTTCCAACGAGACTTTCTGCAATTTAGCAGGACAACAATTACACAAGGTGGTGAGTGCTGATACATCCTGAGTGTTCGATTACCCCTCAGCAGCAGCATTTTTACTGTAACACCGTATTGGTCTTACCTGATAATCACTGTACTGTTGAATAAATGTCTTCAGAAACCTTTTTGGCCACTCGTTAATGTAGCACATGCTGTCACAGATAGAATCTGTGTCCTGGAGCCCAAATCAGCGATTTCAGGAGCTCACTTCTAGCATTATGCAAACTGCTACACCTCTGCTCCAGCTCTTAACTGATAGAACTTGCTAGTTATTCTTTCCTCCCCCACTAATAGTACCTGTACTTAAAGCAGTCTCATATTACTATGCCTGCTCTTGGATAATTACAGTAAATTAAAGCAAAAGAAAACCAAACCCGAATTCTTACATGAGGAGTTCAATTTATATTCAGTGAAAGTGAGACCCCCCCCAGTCTTACTTGTAGTGAAAGGTCACATAACAGTCACATAACAGTCAGTTTTACATCTGGACAAGCCTGATGTTTAGGAAAACAATTTCCACCTGACCTAAAGGGTAATATTACTGTGACGTGAAGACTGAGAAGCAATTTGCATACTTAAAGAAAGGCCCTTTCTTTCTAGGTCTGCCATGGTTTGTATTATGTTCTAAACTAAATACATGCTTCATATTCCTTTTGTCCCACTTGGCTCTCTAAAGCCAGCAAGACTTCACATTCCAGTGGTTTTATGTTACTTGTGCCTTCCTTCTGGCTCTCTGAAGCTGGCAAGACTTTGCATACAGGTGGTTTTCTGTTACTTGTCTCCTCTGGAAAAAGACACTTTCAAAACACCTAAAGGCCAGGAAGCTACAAGCAGGTCAAGATTGCTTTACAGTTCTACCAGTGAGTAAACCCTGAATTTCCAAACACATAGGATAAAGTCTGTCTTAAAAAGAAATAAATTGCACTCAAAAGTTCAACAATACTGTGCACAGACTTAAGGCAAGGATAATTGAAAAGGTAAAACTCAAGGTTAAACTAAGTCCAGCATCAATTGTTCACTTTCTCACAGGTAAAATACAGAGCTCAATCCCCAAAGCTAGCTAAGACACTGCATGAGCAGTGTCCTACAAAAAGCATTTAATGTTTCAGTGCACCAACCTTACTCAGCAAGGGACAAAACCATCATCATCTCTTTTTCCTGACATGGAAAGCAAAAATTACCAACATTCCATTTTTCTCCTGATATGCTTGCTTGTGGATACATCCCTGCTTCCTCTCAGAAAATGGAGAGCTTCATTTAAATTCTGCTATTTCTCCTGACAAAATATTCAGTCTTTGTGCTTGACTCCTGCATCCTACACCAGCAGCTTCCTCATGGTCTGAGGAAGCCCAGGACCCCCCTGATTTCTAATCCACTCAGAATGCTGCAGCTGGGTTCATCATCCTGGCCACCCTTTGTAACAGAACAATCTCCTCCTGCTTCCTCCCATTCCATCAATGAGCTTCACAGCCACCTGCATCTCTTGCCATTTTCCCAATTCTTTAACTCTTTGAGGTCAAGTCTTACTGTAGACATCTGCTTTACCTGGACCTGCCATCAGCTTCTAAAAGCTGACTCTAATTTCATAAATCCTAAAATATCTGCCCCTCCTACCTTTAAAAAAACCCAAAATACCAGTGATGACATGGTGTAACTTGGATCACAGTAGTATTTCAGTATCTATTTCTCAAGAAAATGACTGTAGAGTCATGGGATAGGTGGTTTCATACCTTTTAAACCAAGGATACTTAAGAAAAACCTGGACAAAAATCTGGCCATGGCCCTGGACAATCAGCTCTTGGTGGCCCTGAGCATGGGGGCTTGGGGCAGACAATCTCCAGGTGTCCCTTCCACCCTCAACCCTCCTGTGATTATTTGAAGAATCTTCATAGCAGCTGTATCACTGTTAATCCTAGAATACAAAGAGCTGCTTAGGCTCTATTTCTCACTACATACACTGCACTGCTTTTCATAGAAATTAATAAAAAGTTACCCCACAATCTGCACCTACATATGTGGAAAAAAAAAGAAAAAAAGAAATTTGTCAAGTAGTCTACATATTAAGAAGTCTACCTATGTTATTCAGTGGAATAGAAGTGGAAAAAGTCAGATGACAATAATGCACTATGTTAGCACTATCCCAATTTGCCAGGTTTCAAAGAACAGTATGAAGTCCTGTTTAAGCTACACAGATTTTGGAAAACTCTTGAAGGAAAGGGAAAAACTGGTCAGTATGTTTGCATATATTACATATTTTACATTGCTGCTTGGTTGATAGGGAAACTGATTAAAATCCCTAAGAAAAAATAAACTAAGAAGAAAAGAAAGAAAATGGACATTAACTGAGGAAATTTAGATCTTGTGAGCATCTTCACTGGGATGTCAAAGGAAAAGTAAGCATTCAAGACTGTGGATGCCACAGAGGTCACTAGAAGCAGGATGATACAAAATAAAGAAAGAAAATAATTGTTTCACTGTCTTCTAACTCAGATAAAGCTGTCACTGCATCCCTGCTGTTTGCAGCAACCCTGACAATACATCTTACCTTATCAGGGGTGGGGCTTGAATGATTTATGAATTATAGCAGCAATGAAAGGGAGAAGGTTTAAAGTTCAAGACAGTAACCACCCACCTAGAAAGCAGAGTCTTTACAGAAATGTTGCACAACTCACTGCTGAGTTATACAGTAACAGGGAGCAAGGCAGAAACAACGTGCTAATGGCTACAGTCATCATTATGGAATGGCCAGGTCCTCAGCGTTTCTCCAGTTTGACACACAGAGCTTTTTTTACTGGCCCTCTAATTCATCCTAACAACCCTTTAGGTAATGTGTTTATTACCAGGTGACAGATACTTCTATAAAACCTTATTTTGCAGACATTGTGTGTCCTAGCTGATAAAAAAAAAAAAAAAGAAAAAAAGAATAAAACCAACTACAACTTCCTTCACAAAGCAAATCAAACTCCCCCAAAACGCTACAGAAAACTTCAATCTGAGAGAGTCCTAAACGCCTTGGCAAAAACATCTTTTACACTTGCAAACTATTTCCCTCCTCCTTTCCTTAATTAGAGCTTTCTGGGCGTCCTTCGCTCATGCAATTTCGCGCTCTGCCGAGCACTAATTTCAGCGGGTGAGTGACAAAAGGACGGTGCCAGGCAGGCGGGGCCGCTCCGCGCACCCACGGGAGCGCAAAGGAGCTGTGGGACACACATGGAGAAAATAAGAAAATTACAGCCTGAAAAATATTCCAGGCTGGAGCTTCTCAGCTCTGTTCCCAGCCCATGAGCTGCTCCAGCTCAAGGCCAGGGAGAATTTCTCCCAGGGTGATAATTTGGTCAGAATAAAAAGGAATTAATAACAAGATAAAACACCTGTTGTGGTGTGTGCCCAGGCCCTGGCCATGGGGTGTCTTCTCTCTGAACCAATCTCCTTTTCTCTACTCTTGGAATTGCAGTCATGCTATAAAACCAAGGGTGTTTCTGAATAGACTTGTCTCTTTGTTTTCTTTCATATAAGACGATCATGTAGCTGTGCATCTTATTTCCGCTTCACTTAAAGGGTTAAAACCCTTTTCCACGGCTACACAGGAGCGCACAGGAGAGCACAGGAGAGCACAGGAGAGCACAGGAGCGCAAAGGTGCGCAAAGGAGCCCGGGGAAAGAGAAGGTGCAAGCGCAGCGAGCCGAGCCCGGGCGCCAGCCCCGAGCAGCACCGGCTCCAACGCGGTCTGAAACAAAAGTCAGTTGTTCCGAGCCCCGAAAAAGCTCGTGCACTGGGGAA